AGTTTATCTTATGAAAGTGTCTTTCGGCAGATAAAGTCAATGGTCGCTTGTCCTAGTCCCTACAACGCATGTTTTGGCTGCGAATTCGCGTTCTTGGTTTACAATCAACATTTAAACCAATTTAAACCTCAAAGGCAAGATGCCAGTTCGTGTATTCCTCTCCTGCTGTTCAGCGGAATATGTTGGGCGCACGACACGACAATTCAGCAGGAGACTACATGAGCATCTCTCTTGCCGGAATACCACTAGACTCAATGGCTCGGTCAAAAGCCCGATTGCGTCACATTATTAAGACTGGTCACGTGAACAGCTCAGAGGAGATATTTGACACCATAGATTACCTCAGATTGTTAGTATCGATCCGACAGTATCGCTTGACTGCAGCCAAAGCAGTCACGGTGTGACTGCGAAATCCCGTACTATGTTGTCAGAATGATTCGTATGAACTCTGAGTCTGTCGTGGTTATGTGACACGAATTAATCAATCCAATCGTCGGATGCCCCTTTATACCACCTTGCATCCTCCAGTAAGATGAGACTCGAGTTTCAGTTGTGTTTACGCTTTTTGGCATAAAAAAACAATCTTAGCTATTTGTTTTATTATTTACACCTATTTTAAATATTACTTTCCTGACGAAGAGATTCCAGGATCAGTAATGTTCATCACTCTGTGTTCTCCCTAAAATGACGAGAATAGTCCCGTCTCTTGAATTTTGCAATAGGGCCTCACTTCGTTGACTATCATTTGTTTACTATAGCCGATCTCCAAAGCTATTGTCACAATCGCCTGTGGTCTTTCACAAGCAAGAGAAATGCAGGACTTCTTCCTGGACATCGTGGAGAAAGTGAGTTGCCTTTCGCTGCATGGTTCTAAGGTTCTAGCCGTCCATGTATTTCCAAAACGTTGGGTTGGGTCAAAAACGGCCAGTTTTAGGTGTTTGTTCGACCTGGATTCGTATTTATCAACTGGATTGTGTAGTATTGCAACTGTTGCACTGAAACAGCTTTTTGCATGTGAACTGTGCTTACATGGAAGAACTTCAAGTGTGGATTTTCATCTGGCTTAGTTCGGAACCATATCCCCACTAAAAACAACAACACCTTACCACCTCAAACCCTGTTTGGATTTACCTTTGTGTAGATTGTTGAACTCATGCGTGGTTTGAGGTGGTCTACACGAGACGTGAGGCTTTTCTTTGAGGCTTACGCAACAACCGCCACGCTTCTTCCTCTTGCCAAGTAAGTGGGTTCGTTTCACCGTTAGCATACCTACTCAGGTAATTTGGGGACCTTTCTAACTTCTTAACAAAAGTTTCGCAGTCTGTGTCTTGTTTCTAATTTCCTCATTATCGGTCCGAGAAACCTGACAGTTTTTCGGACTTCATGATTTTCTACAGATTATTTGGCAGCTACACACTCTTAACAGGCGACAAATGTGCTACCAAGGTAGGTGCTAACGCATCGAGAGGTAAAGTACGAATGCAAATAGAATAAGGGAGGTACAATGAGGAGCTTTGCGTGTGCTAGTTGTAACTGTAACTACGGAGCCGTCATGTTTCCTTTGTTGGCGAAGTAAGCGATTATTTCGAACATTCTAACCAGTCTAGATCCTGACCTACCAACAATGCGTCTCCAACAGTACACCAAGTGCATTTGGTGCCTCTCAGGCAAATGTCCAAAAGACACCCTTTGCAGAGGTCCCAATTTATGTTTCACACTGACAAACACTGGCCCGCCCATTGGCTGAGATTTAATCTACAAATTTTCATTGGCGGTTGTACAGATTTCAAAGAAAAAGCTATTGACTGTGTTGTCTGTCGCTACTGAAGATGAAAATGCTCACAAGATCCAGTCGGCCCAGGAGAAAATATCTGTATTTTGTAGCGGAGCATGCATACACCGTATGGTTCCACCTGGAATGGTGGTTTATATGAAATAACCTGCATTGCTCGTGTGCTGCTGTTGCATCGCTCTCGAATAACAGTTTCACAACTAAGAAGGTCGAATTACAATACGTCGTGAAGAATATCATCGATTACGAGGTTGAAGAGTAACTGGGAGGTGGGATGGTCCCGCCGCACTTCACTGGGGTAGCAAAGGCGTGGGTGTGCTGTTCACCCTAAATGCCCTCTAGGTTTGTTGACTCGTACTCAATCATCCCATTTGTAAGCAAGTATTTTCGTGAAACTATTCGGTGACTGAGTCAAACGCCGCTCTTTTACTCGGTCGCGTAATGATTGTTGATCTGCGATGCCTGTGGTCACGTTTTAACAAGCGAAGGGCAAGGACTTGATCAAGGTATCTGTGATCTGTGCAGAAAGCAAACTGTCCCTGTCGGAATATATTTTGCTTGATAGACAACCTGCTGAGGCGTCTGGGCATTCAACACCAGAGTTATTTACAATCTAGCTGTGGATCAGGCATCTGTTGATCCATAACCAATTGACGCACCCGAGCTACTATTATTTCGGTATATTCACCACACGTTAAGTGAATCGCAACGCTTGTTGTATCGAACGGACGTTACATGGGACATAAGCGCTTGTCACAGAGAAACAACAAGAAGAGTGGATTGAAGAAGTTATCCAGATCGATTGGAGTTTTGCCACCATCGTATTCATCTTCAAAAAGGACGCACATTGGGGGAAAATTGTTGCCAGTTGCACCGATCCTGCTAAAAACTGATCCTTAGGCTGTTGTCCATTCTCGTGATGCAGTCTGAGAAGAGAAAGTGGGGTTCCGCCCTTGCATGGGGATGTGTTGACCAGGGAAAATCTTACCGCCATCATCCTATTCCCATATTCCCTGCCACCAGTTGTGTCTCTTACTCAACCTACCCCGACGCACTATGGGAATGCCCGGGAGATACATCAACATCTGTAGGACGCTCCATGCGCACACGTCAGGATAAGTCAAAGTCTGGACAGTCGTCAGTTACTTTGAACATCCTTTCCAATCTGATTTTCACCATCCATAGCATCTTAAGTGAACTCATAAACGCTTTATTCTGGGAAGGTTTCGATATGATCCCGGGTACCAAACCGCGAGAATCAGAGTATGCGGACGATGTCTTGTTAGTCTGTGCTACTGCTCAGGTCACTGTGTCCTGGACAGCCTGGAGGTTTCTCTCTGGAATTTCGGAATGAGTTTCGTGTCCCGCAAATGCGGAGTATTGTAATTCGGCTGACATTACTTTGTCTCGCATGTGAATATAAATGGCAACGCCTTGGAAGTAGTTAAAAAGAATTAGTTGCTTGGGAAGTTGTTTTAACATCAGTGGTGATGAGACGACAAACCGAACAACGATATAAAAAACTGTTCCTCATCTGAAAAATCAATGATCAGCTTTGTTTTCCCCTGACTGTGCTCCAGATGTAGACACCCCGATTGGGCCGTTGTGGTGGCTGTCTTTCGCCGCAATTTCTGCCGTTGGTCACTGCTGCGTAGGGGAGTTGAGGGTGGTGTGAGCATAGACTTCACTCAGCAGGTTTTCTTTTTTGGGCCACATAAACTAGACATCCACGCGCGTCAAGTCAACCATTTATACCGGACCACGTGGTTTATGTTAGTGATGCAGTGTGTCACAAAGACACCACCAGGTTTGGTACCGAACGACAATACGTTCTTGTGAGTAGTGTCTTACGTCTAAACAACGCCGGCCATTGTTTTTATGGGGTTTATGTAGCACCATATTGCAGACATCTAGCTATCAACATTTTTTCTACTATCAGTGCGATTTCTTGTCAACGGTAGTCATTGTTAACTTTCAGATCCGTGTCTTTCAAACCCATTTGGACCCGCTTCATTGTACCTTTCGCAAGCTGCGTTGAACAGTTACATCACGAATGAATCAATCAAATGATACAAGCACGAACTAGTCACTGATTCGTTCCCATTTGTCGTTCCTTCTTTTTGTAAATTGATATGATCAAACAGAAGTTTTTGCTTGTTCCATCTAACGCCCAATCCACCGACCACATGATGTGTTTATCCCACAGTAGCTCGCTTATTAGAATAAGCGTCAGGGCATCAAGCGGTGATAAGTACTTTTCAGAACGCTTTTCGGTTACTTAGAGGAGCCAATGGTAACTCGTTTGATCAGATTCGGGCAGCTTTTAAGCATAAGAATTAAGTAGAGCAATAACTCCTGGTCCCATGGTGAAAAACGTGGTGCAGCTGTTCCCAAATGTTAAATTTCACATCGTTCACTGCATCTTAGGCTTCCTGGACGAAGGAAGTTGATAACCTTTTCTGCAGTGCTAGTTTGAAGTGACTCAAACCCCTGGAATCAATTTGCTTTGACAGATGGCCAGGTTCCACGAACGAACAGTTCCCGCGGGTATAGTAATCTTTATGACAGCTGAAAAGCTCTGGAGACTGACACAGTTCTTTTAACCGTATTTTTGAATCACTTAAGGATACATGAACTTTTGCGTAGATGGACTTTGTGGCCTGAGGCACCGCACGCCAGTCACTAAGATCACGCAGCCTTTGTCCACTACTCACTATGGACACAAAAGTCAACAAGAGGAACCACACCTCGTTGCTGAACAAAATCTTATCCGAGAACTTATTGGGGGGAGGCCGCAATTTTGTTCGACACCCCCCATAAAATAAGGGCGCACCAACAAACGTAATTAAGGATGCCAATAGAACCGGTTGATAATTTTTGTAATGAGAAAATCGGACGGTGCTCGTGCCGCAATTTCTTTCGGTGATACCCTCTCCAAACCACGGGCTTTCAACCTGGAATATGCAGACGACATTCTTTCCATTTTTCGGGAAAGAAGCAGCAACCATTACTTGAAAGGCTGACCGAGGTCATCTAGTCCTTCGGCACGTGCTTTATGGTCAAAGTTGTGCTGCAGAACGCATAGTCTTTGAACGCGACTCCGAGAAGTGAAAGAGTGACGAAGTAAAAGCACGAATCTCGAAGGCTATTGTACGGCTGCGAGACAGTCATTTCGGGCGAAGGGTCTGAGAAAGCCTCATGTCTTTGCCCACTAATGTCTCAGCGGTGCCTGCTCGCGTAGTGCACCAATCTGACGTGACGATACCTCCGCAAACCATTGTGGTTTCCATGTTCATGTCGAAAACAGATTGTCGCTGGCTTTTTCCTGTTAGCTGCGACGATTGCCCACTGAAGCTGATAGTAAGTCGGACAGGCGCTGACATTTCCGCGTCAGTGTCATCTTCCGTCCATAAACTTTTGATCACTATGCCAGACCGGTATCCGCATGGTTATTCTTGAACAAGAGCTGTCCGCCCATCTATCAGCTGACGGTACCAATCGTAGCAACACTTCACCTGGCAGCTCACAGTTATCCTCAACTAGCACCGCTTCATTTATCCGGTTTGAAGACAGGCAGAGGTGCACTAGCCATAACTTACGGCCAACTGGTGCGTCACGGTAAGTCATCGCACACACATTCGTTTAGTCGATCGTGTCCAACCCATCAACCAAATCAGCGTCCTCGCATGAAAGTTTGCGTAAAACCCTGTGACTGGGTAGCTCACTGAACGAAATGCCTTCCACCCATTTCTGCTGTCTTGCAAATCGCCCTTTGTTGTGCTAACAAGAGGGATCCAAACAAGTCCACCTAGGTGGAACAAATTTCCCAAAATATTTTGGATGCGCAAATTTTTCCTTCTCGTTCCTGACTTATTGACCGTATATTCCAAAATAACTTTCGAAGTAAAGGGTTTTGTAGTAACTGACACTGAGACCTCAAGTGCAATATCCCTTTCAGTGTTTGCGCATCCCTCTAACGTTGAACAAAAGATAAAGATACGTAGTCAACCGCCAGTGCAACTAATTGGAGAATGGTGAAGCCATGTTGACACAATGCGGTCTCCCCAAGCGATATGGTCTAGTCCCAAATTTTTCTATCAAGGCCTGTGCCTCTTAAGAAGAGCGCAATTCCGGCCGCTCTCAGGAAAACAGTGACCAATGTTGGAAAACCGCAACCGCCCCAGTACTTGACTTGGATGGGACATACTTGTTTGCATGTGGTACCGTCGAGACGTCCCCCTATTGTTTACTGGGAAAAAACGGACTGAAAAGAACTAAATAAATACACTAAGACAAGTAACACAGTAAAATCACGGCAAGTATTGAGAGGAATACCCTCGCATACATATACTGTGTAGAGTGGTTCGCTTTGCATGCAAACCAAACTACTAAAATATGAAACAACCGTGAGTGGAATATGTACAGAAAAGCTGCAAACCAAAGTTATCAACAGTAAAGTATGAGCAAAGAACAAAGTAAAAGTCACAACGAGAACATTCACAGCATAACTGGAAACATATGATTGTCAGGAGTGAAAGCAAAACACGGGTCGGCTCATGCTGCTGCCTGGGGGAGGGGATTACCGGATAACATACTGCAAGCATGTCATGACAGATGACCACAGCCTTCGATCGACCACGACACACCAGTCGCAACTTGCGTGGTAGGTAACAGGTGCGAGTTGCAAGTGGACGTAGACGAAAAAGTTAATTTACCGAAAGTCGGGTGACAATTCGTTGGGGGTGTGCCGCTCGACAATGGAGAGAAGGTAGGCGTTGTGGGTCCTAAGGAGTTGTTGGGTTTCACCGATGTTTGATTATTCATTGGATGTGAGTGAGAGTGTGTGTGAGGACGTACATTAGGAGCATATTTTTTAACCGATGACTTGGCTCGTACCGTTGTACGAACACATGAACCATTCGGATTAGAATAATCAGAATACCTAGGGAAATTCGCTGTTTGTTTATGCTGCTTACTTATTTTTACTTCCTCCTCACCCGCGCTGTCATTCGGGTGTTCCGAGGACGGAGATGAAGTAAGGTAGTCCTTCAAAGAACCTAAGCTACTGGTACTGTTACTAGTGCTGAGGGATTTCGTTTTCCGAAAAGGGCGAGTAGATGTCGTGTAGAGTGAGACAGATGCCTGTGTCGAGATCCAAGTGGACAAACGGTTGGACCTGCGATGACCGAGTGGGGGGCGAGGCAAGCACAGTTCGGATTCCTTCTCTAAGGGTGACGAAGACAGCTCAGGCGTTTTAGTTAGCTCGGTAAGCGCCATATTATGTCGTTTCTCTTTTAGTTGCGTATGCTTTTCGGTGACTGGTTTACACTGGGATCGTTTACGAACAACGACGAATGCATCATCTATTCGGGGAATATCTATGGCTAGTTTCCGCTTCATAGCTCGTCGTAGCATACCGTGTGGTTGGGCGCTGTATGCCCGATACCCAGTGAGGTAGTCGACAATGCGAACATCCCGAAGACGACACCGAGTGCCTTGCTCTTTATCCAGCACATCGAAAGCCCTGGATAATCCGGACGTAAACGCACCATGCGTACACTGTTGGCCACCAGCGCTGTCCACTGTACCTTCGCCAGCGAACAGTAAGCGGGGGTTGTCCTGGAAGTAAAGGAGGACAGGTGAACGAGAATCTAACTCAACCGTGAATGTGTCTGTTTGGTGGAGGGAACAAAAGCAATTGATACCTCTAATTGGTAATTGAACCATCCATTGTCCAAATCAACTAATCCAAACAGCTCCCTTTTTACCCAACAGAAGAGTTTATTGGTAACAGAATAGGGAAGCCGCAACAACAGAATATGAAACTGAAGTGCTCAAATTCAACCAATCGGTTCGAAATTCGACGAGCAAGGTAAGTAGGCGAATCACATCGCTCAAGCGTGACCACATTTACTTGTTCAAACGTTTTTGCCGGTGGAGTAGTGGTAACTCGCATCGCATTTCACATGTCCGGAATACAAATCCCAGCACGGTCAAGGATATGCACCACCGACGAGCTCTAATAAGATGAAAACATGTCCAGTGTCCCCAGCCCCTTTTGACGTGGACTCTCAAGAACAACTTCGCTAGGACAGAAGGACTGTCAAACGAGTGATCTGAACTCAAACTCTACGACATCTACCACCAAGTAGGAGAATCGTCACAACTATAGCGGGTGCTGCTCTGGTCTCAAAAGCACAGCAATAGTCCTGGAACGCAACCGAATAAGCAATCGGCTCCCAAACGCAGGCACATGTAGCTGTCAACCTTGACCCCCCTAATACTGTTATAGACACTTCAAATCTCCGGGAAATGCCGGGCTACTCTAATGCAACTGCTTCACCACACAACAGTAACTGACCCAGTACGGCCTAAAGGGAGGAAAGGTTCGTCAATGGGCCGACCGACAATTTGGTTCATTTAAGAAATTCCATAACATGCTTCAATGTATTTAGACCAGTTCTAGAACATCGCAGTGACGTAAAAATTGCCATTTGTCACCTACGCATGTATTCAGACAAAAGTCCAAGTCAAGCTTCCGATTCTGTTTCCAAAGGCTTCCCAAAGCAAACCTGCTGTGAATAGGATGAGTTCACTCATTCCTGCAGGAAGGTGTTGGAAGTTCAACACAAACTTGCAGTCACCATCTACGACTCCAAGAATCAAATAAGAGCTTGGGTCTTCAGCTACATCTTAACAGCTGCTTTCTAGTGGACCGCAACTGATTACGCCAGGCTACTGACGAAACTATCCTAAATAAACGGTATTCACGATAAATCCTACGCAGCTTCAACCTCCAGATGTGCAATTACTCACGGGAGAAGGAAGACTACTAGCGTAGGCGTGTCGATCAGCGTCACCACTTCCCACTTCGCCAGCAGTGTACGCTCCCAAACTGAATGGGTCTTCCGACCATCGCGTCACCACAGTGAACAGTGGATTTGGTAAAGGACATTGAGTAGGATACATGCCCGATAATAGGTCCAGAATTTCTTTAACGACGGCTTCATCCGGTCTGTTGAGAAGTCGCAGTTTTGATCCACCCCAGAGGTGCGCTACGAGCACACCCGATTGACCGAAGTAGTCGCAATTGAGAATGTGCAGACGCGCTCCAGGACACACAAGCTGAGGAGCAGTTCGGTCCCAAAAGACGTCAGAAGGATGAAACCGAAGCACGACCTGTCGAAGTGAGAAAATCCAAGTAGAGTTACTGCGGCTGTTGCGGTACACGAAAAAACATGAAGCTCTAGGTTTGTGGGTCAGAACCTTGCTCTTTTCTCAGAGTAAACAATGCCACATAGAAAAGAATGGTATTAATTCAGGAAATACAGTGTTTCCGCTGTGGTAAGAAGATACATTGGGCAAGTGTTACTCGTGCTCTCCCCGGTCATTCTAACAATGAGCAGCCAATAAACACCTTTTGCCAGCATTGTTTACTTCGTTTTCCGATCGTTATTCAACTCTACCAACTTTGTTTTATCTGAACATCAAGGAGATTAGAATGTTAACACTCGAACTCAATCAATGGATTGTTACAATTTCAATCGTACGTGCCAGTTTCCCACTCCAGAAATTATATTACGCAGTACTCTTACAAACCATGAAGACTGCTCGCAACTTTCCCAGCCTATCGCCAATGCCATTCAGTCCCAGATCCTCCATTCACCAGAAGCCTCCATTAAGTAAGGATGGAAGCGGCTTACTTTCAACGCGCTTGTTTAGACTGTTCATCTCGGTGCACAGCAGTAAAAAAAGTGGGTTGGTGAATATGGTAAACAAATGCAAGCAATCATCATCGACAGCACATGTGTTCAACACTACTTATTTGTAATGGGTGCGTTTACTGGTTAGCAGCTTACAGTTTCCAACTAACAGTGATCCGGAAAAAAGATTGGCCATACTTAAAATTCCTTCTGCTTGATGATTTGCGGCGGTTGATTTTTGGCGATATGATCAAATGAAGTCGCACTATCGGGGCTATTCATTCACCATCAGTTCCGAACTGATAACCTTCGTAACATCAATCGTTGTGTTCGCTTACGTTCTATGAATCACTCGTTAACTCCTCTCCTATCCAACCAAAAATGATACTATCTTGTTCCAATGGGAACAAACGGTTATTCTTCTACAGTGGTCTCCCTGAGAATATGAAAAATCATTCGCTCTGAGAGTTCCGCCTCTATGGGGGGCAGTCTAACCGTCATCACGGTGCTGCCAATCGAGTGCCCGGTTAAACTGTGTCAACAATACTATGCATTGGATTGGACATGTAACATGAGTGCGCCATACGAAGCAGCTGCGCTCTACATTCCTTCCAGGTTATACACACCACCCAAGTCTCCCACTCGATGTTCTGCTATACATTGCTGGAATTCCATCGAGATCATCATCATCATCATCAACGACAGCAAAATCAGTGTTGCCACTGATGCTTCACTGCCGTACAACCATAAGGTTTGTCTAGTTATATATATATAT